TGAGGATAGATTCAAACGAAAACTAACCGCTTTAGAAAGAAAACTTGGCGAATTGCTAGCAGAACTAGACAAGACCGTGGACAAAACCGAGTTACAAAATTCAGTATCCAAATTGAACGAAAAGATCGCGAAGCAAAAATCAGATGTTCAAGATATAATTAACGCACTTCCCATTGACAAAGATACGTTGAAACGACAATTGACTGCTTTGGATACTAAAATCACGGACGAATTAGAAAAAGATTAACAACTTTCTTTCTTCAAAATAAATTTCGAGATGATATGAAAAATTATATTAAAGAACAGGTCAATCTTTTGGTATCTAGAATTCATGACGATTTTTTGAGACAAGAGAGAAAGTTGACCAAATTAGAAGCTATTGTCACGGACAAATCGTATTATTTCAATCTTCCATTCGAAAGTGACACTGTCTTCGATAGAAAAGGCCAAAGTTATAAATCAAACAAATACGGATTCAGAGTAGAAATAAAAGTTGGTTCTCTCGCATACGGAGAACCTAAAAACGTATTCGATATCGGCGAAACGCAAGGGTTTACTTTTCAAGGTAATTGTCTGATTCAAATAGTTTCCCATGAAGGTTAAAGTCAATAAAGTAGTCTTCAAACAAACCGGTAAGGCAGTCAAACATATTTCATTATTCAATGATGGTAATTTGGAAGAGAATATACGTTTGATTGATAAAAGGGATCAGGAAATTGAAACGAAAAATGGTAAATATGTAGACACCTTTAAATTGGAAGTAGAAAATGATAATATAAATAGATTACAAATCAAAGTTTTAGATATGATATTGGAGACGGAAAATCCACAATCAACCAACATTGTCAAAATTCCACGACACTTACACGTACACGGAAAAATAAAATCGAGCAGTCACGAGTTTTTACGAACAACAGACTTTGAATACGTAAAACTGTATTTCGCTTTAGGTGAAAAATACACCTCGATCGATGTTCATAAAAGTCAACAAGAAAGAGAGTTTATAGTACATTTATCGTTTGCCGAAGACTCCATCCTTGAAGGTGGTGGTTTTATTTTTAGAGCCAAGATAAACATCGAAAAATAAAACATATAATATTCCTATCATCTTAAGGAGGACCATACGAAAAAAGAGATGTCGTTAGTACGCGTAAATGTTTTTATTTTTATTACCCGCGAATATAATAATGCTAGGCCAAACAAGTACGTTCTATATGATATTCCGTGGTTCTATTTATCGGAAATTCACTTAATGTAACGACTTAAAAAATGGAACTCGAAAGCAGACAACAATACATGATAGACAAACAAGAAGAGTTGAAAATAAAGTTGAGATAGTACAATTCATGCAGGAAAACATGGAGTAGAATCGATTCTGTTTTCAAAACAACGAGCACAGTTCTAACGATAGGAGTAACGGTGGCAACGGCCGTGACTGGTGGATTAATGCTTCCGGTCATCGTCCCAACCGTATTAGCTGCATTAACAGCCGTTCAAACGGCCTCTTGCGGCCTCATCACTTAAGGTTTCACGAGCAAAAAGAAAGCTCATTATAAAAAGAAAACGGATATCTTGAATCTGTATCTTAATCAATTGTACATCTTTTTCGAAAGATCGAGAGAAGACAAGAACATAACAGTTGAAGAATTAGAAGAATTCAATGAAATTTTGGACAAATTCCATACAGAAATATCAGCGGTCAAAATAAAGAAATAATCAAAAATATATACTTAAAAAAATATGAATAAAATCGAACTTGCAGACGATGAAACATTGATAGAAAACGTCCTATTTTCCGATGTTATCAAGGCTATCTCTGATAAATTTAAAACATTCAAAGGACAAATTAAAATAGATGGAGAGATAGTCGAGGAAGGCAATCACAGACAATACATGTCACTCCTCGGTTTCAATGCCAAAACTTTTCACAATATCTTTTCAAATATGGACAAAAAATCTGATGCTTCCGATTGGTATTTTACAGGAAAAATAATTTTAATGAAAGACAATTTCCAAGAAATGAAAAGATCGAGAGTTGGTAGAGGAGGAGCTGATCTACTTAAAAAGATAAATGAATACGAAGGCGAAAATTGTTACATACCTACAAATGGTCACTGTTTTATCAAATGCGTCAATCGTGTTTTGAACAAAGATTTAACGTGTAAATTTCAAGAATACATCAACGGGTTTTCAAAAGCAAATAGAAAAGGAGTGATGACTTGTGCTAGAATGAAGGAATTCAACAAGAAATTTAACACTTCGTTTCAAATTTATAATTTACTTACATAACTCGCATTTCTGTTTGATTAGAAGAAGCCAAAAAAGTTTGGGAATTCAAGAAATAGAAGACAATTATGAACAGGTGTGGAAAACGTGTAGAGACGATAACGCAGTAACACAGGTTTCACTTCTCAAACTAAACGTGCTTTCAAGTATGAGTGATGATGCGTTATTCGCTTGGGATTGCGAAACGTATTCAGAAAAAGACACGCGAAGAGCAATTCCTTATGCCTGCACTTTAATTAATTTAGAAAAACTAAGAAAAAAGTTAGAAAAAGATATCTTTCCTACTGATAATGTTCTAGAAGAATTTTATGATAAACGAGTAGAAATATTTGTAGGTACAGATTGTATAGATCAAATGTTGAAATATTTAGGTCAATATGATAGAAAGAGATTAATATTAATTTCTCATAACGGCAGTGGATTCGACAACTGGATGGTGCTTAAAAATACAAAAAAACTAACGCATTGCCCTTTAAAAACACCCAGAGGAATTCTATCTTTTCCTTTATCTAATCCATACACAGATGAAGATTTACAGAAAAAATGGAAAAGACAGAAAGAAATAAAGGGTAATTATTTACAACTTATTAATTTCACGTGTTCCTACCAACACGAATCCTCTAGTTTGACTGCATGGGGAAATTCTTCAAATCTCCCCGCGAATTTGAGAAAGATATTGCTAAATACACCCAAGACAATTGGGAGGAATTGAGACACGAATCGGAATCTTACGCCAAGAGAGACACTCTCTGTTTGGGAGCTTGTTTGATAAAATACAACCAAGTCATGAAAGAAGTTGTAAACCAGAATATGTCCAATAATCTAACGGCTCCATCTTTATCTTTAAAGGGTTGGTATTATTTATATCATTACCATAAAGAAGAAGAATGGTATGAAACTACTAGAATGGTTGCGAAACATACCGAAAAAGAAAATATAGAAAAAGTTTATTCGCACACAAATCCTTTTATAAGAAATTTTATCAGACGATCTATTAAAGGAGGAAGAGTTTCGGCAAATAGCAAAAAATCATTTGAAACGAACAAAATGGATAAAATTTGTAACGTATTAAAGGAATATACAGACCTTGAAAGTAATAACATAATTGATTTATTCAAAGAATACAGCGCAAGCACAAAAGACAAAACGGAGGTTCATTCGAAACTTAAAAAAAAGAATGTACTAAACTAATGGCATTTGATGCTAACGGTTTATACGCTTCCGCCATGTCGGATTTAGACAGTGAATATCCGAGAGCAGAAAGTGGAAGACCATTTCTACCAGAAGAAGAAAAAGAATTTGTAAAACTCTTCAATAAACAAAAATTCAGACCTAGAACAGCTATTTTAACAGTGTGGTTTGACTATCCCAAAAACATGTTCTTGCAACCGATACCAGCTAAAGATAAAATCACTTTCACGAATAAAGAAGGTAAATAAAGGCACTAAAATCAGGTTCAGAAATGGTTTTTGTCACGACGTATTAACATCGGTTGATATTCCAGAAATAGTTAAAGCCGGTGAATATTAGATGGTATAGTTTACGAAGAAAATTTTAAAACTCCACCCTATAGAGATTATATTTTAATTTTGAGAGATCTAAGAAATAAATATAAACGAGAAGGTAATATCGTGGGTAGTAATTGCATGAAATTATTAGGTAATTCCTTGTATGGTAAATCAATTCAGAAAGATATATTCACAACTAGACATTTATGGAATGAAGCAACTTTACAGGCCAAATTTGATTCACATGTTAAAACCTATGAGAAAATTAATGATACTCAATATATTGCTGAAACAGAAATTGAAGAAAAAGAGATTACTACCGAAGATAGTAAATCTACACGACTAACACCTAGTCATTTGGGATCATTCGTTTTATCTCAACAGTAAAAAAATAATGAATATTTCATTCACGTCATAAATGGATTTTATAAACCCGAAATATACTATACCGACACCGATAGTTTGTACATTTCATCCAACAATTGGGAAAAACTAAACAGAGCTGGTTTGGTCTCCGAAAATACTATTGCAAAGGTAAAAACGATTACGGTGACGGTGGAATTATATTTGGCTTATATTTAGCACCAAAAGTCAAATACAACATCGTTTTGACTTCTGATGGTGTTTTAAAAGAAAAGAAAACGTTTAAAGGTTATTCTACTGATAAGATAAGTGTAGAAGACTACGTTCAGTTAGCAAGCGGACATGATGTGTTGAACAAATT